ATAAATGGAAGCAAAATAACAAAACAGGCAGACTTGTTAAATATTTTTTCAACAGAAAATAGAAAATTACTAGAGTAGTCTGTGCTTGTGTCTGTGCGCACACATGTGTGTGTATATATGTGTGTGTGTGTGTGTGTGTGTGTGTGTGTGTGTGTGTGTGTGTGTGTGTGTGTGTGTGTGTGTCTGTGTGTGTGTGTGTGTGTGTGTGTGTGTGTGTGTGTGTGTGTGTGTGTGTGTGTGTGTGTGTGTGTGTGTGTGTGTGTGTGTGTGTGTGTGTGTGTGAGTGTGTGTGTGAGTGTGTGTGTGTGTGAGTGTGTGTGTGTGTGAGTGTGTGTGTGTGTGTGAGTGTGTGTGTGTGTGTGTGTGTGAGTCCGTGCGTGAGTGCGTGCGTGTGCTTGTGTACATGTGTGTATATGTATATGTGTGTATATGTACATGTGTGTGTATGTACATGTGTGTGTATGTACATGTGTGTGTATGTACATGTGTGTGTATGTACATGTGTGTGTATGTACATGTGTGTGTATGTACATGTGTGTGTGTGTACATGTGTGTGTGTGTACATGTGTCTATGTATATATGTGTTTATGAGTATGTATGTATGTGTGTACATGTGTATATGTGTGCATCTGTATGTGTGTGTATGTACGTGTGTGTATGTACATGTGTGTATGTATGTGTGTATGTACGTGTGTATGTATGTGTGTATGTATATATGTGTATGTGTATATGAGTATGTATGTATGTGTGTACATGTGTGCAACTGTATGTGTGTGTGCATGCACGCATATATATATATGTGTGTGTGTGTGTGTGTGTGTGTGTGTGTGTGTGTGTGTGTGTGTGTGTGTGTGTGTGTGTGTGTGTGTGTGTGTGTGTGTGTGTGTATGTGTGTGTGTGTGTGTGTGTGTGTGTGTGTGTTTCTTTGTTTGTTTCTTTGTTTGTTTGTTAGTGTGTGTGTGTGTGTGTGTGTGTGTGTGTGTGTGTGTGTGTGTGTGTGTGTGTGTGTGTGTGTGTGTGTGTGTGTGTGTGTGTGTGTGTGTGTGAGTGTGAGTGTGAGTGTGAGTGTGTGTGTGTGTGTGAGTGTGTGTGTGTGTGTGTGTGTGTGTGTGTGTGTGTGTGTGTGTGTGTGTGTGTGTGTGTGTGTGTGTGTGTGTGTGTGTGTGTACATGTATATGTATGTGTACATGTATATGTATGTATATATGCAGGTATGTATGTGTGCATGTATATACATGCAAATGTTTGAAAAGCTTTGAGGTGATCAATCTTTCATATTCATTGATAAATACAAACTCACAAATAACATAAATTCAAACAGTATAATTTGTCATCTAATTCCAAATTTATTCTTGCTATAAAGTATCATAACTCTTTTCAATCATAATTTCAAAGCAAATTATTCTGACATCTTGCAGAACTGTATGTCTTGCTGTAACTTGGCATACTCCTTCAGCAAAGCCTGAAATTTTGGGTCAAGTCCACTGTAACCACTCAGTTCATGCCTGAGTCTAGCAAGACTGCGCTCAGCATCTGCTGTTCTCTCTTTTGCATGTGAGTGGATTGTCTTCAGTGCAGGAACTGACTGACTTGTGTATGTATCCACTAAAATCTCCAGTTCAATACATCTGAAAATGAATAAGTGTTTAAGATAGTCCCTCACTATGATAATTTACAATATTTACTTCTTAAATCTAATTATTACATTCTCTTATTACTGAAAATACAGCTAGGCAATAATAAATCCATAATAATTTATAATTTGCATGTACTCTCTAATCATTGGAAAATGAGAGATTGCTTTGTGCAACTTACTTCAGCTTCAACAGCTGTGCACCCAGGATAATGTTCAGACTCTCAACATGCTGGGCTGGGTAGTGGGACAGTCTCTGCTTGGACATGAGGCTCTTCAAAATACTCCCGTACTCAAGTAGGAGACCATGAACCTTGAATAGAAAATGTGAACAGAAGGTAATTTGATGTGGATATGACCTGTACTGAAAAACTAAAACATAAAGGACAAAAGGGAGAATAACAAAACAAGTATTGAGGCACTGACTGATTCTTATAGTGTTGATATATGCCCAAAAGAGAGCCACAAAGAATAAGCATTCAAAACCATTATTTTTTTATGCAACAGACCATTTTTTTGCAGACACTATATGTATAAAATTATGGCTGTAGGAAACAAGAAACTATAGAAAGATGAGGTCAAGACTTTGTGATCATTCACAGGTAATGTTACTGATTTTATTAATTTCTTATTTTTTATATAAGATAGATAGATAGAGAGAGAGAGAGAGAGAGAGAGAGAGAGAGAGAGAGAGAGAGAGAGAGAGAGAGAGAGAGAGAGAGAGAGAGAGAGAGAGAGAGAGAGAGAGAGAGAGATATGAAGGCATTGGGATCATTCCTAAGTAGTAATATCATTATTATTTTCCATATGAAATTACAAAAAAATATCTATCATGCCTTCCAGATTCTGGCTGCACAATTCAGCCTGTACATTGTTCATCTTAAAATCACCACTCACCAAGTAAAAATTCATTAAGAGGTTATTAAGATTAATTTTGATGATGGAATGATTGAATTGGTTGCATTATGAAGCTGTTGCACTTCATTTGACAAGTGTGGTAAGAAAAGAAAAAAGAAAAGAAAATTTTAAAAAGTAGATTAATAAAATAAATAAACTAGATGATATTATCAGAATTTGAAAGGATGAGAATTGGATGTTCTATATTATATTTAGAATCTGAAAGGATTGATATATGGAGTACAAAAACAGTGCAAACAGGTCTGTACACAACAAGCATAACACTAGCAATTGAGTAATTACTTTTTTCTACTAATTATCTGATTTTTAAAAACTTCTTAATATGGTTAACATGCTATATTGACATTATGAAGAAAAAAAATCACTGACATCATATTTGACAATGCTTTAATCTGAGATATTCTTTGAAGAATAAATAAATGAAATAATATTCTAACAACAGTTATAACCAAACAGTAATAATAAAAGCAACAGCAACAGCAGCAATAGTATTTCTTATAGTTATAATAATAATAATAATAATAAAAATAACAAAAACAGCAATAATAATAATAACAATGATAATAATAATAATGATAACAATAATAAGAATGATGACAATTATAATAAAGATAACAATTATAATAATGATAATAGTAATAATGATAATAATAATAATAGTATTAATGATAATAATAATAATATCAATAATAATAATCATATTAACAATATAATGATAATGATAATGATAATAATAATAATAATAATATTAATAATAATAATATTAACCCATTGCCGCCGGGCAGATGGCTACACTTGTACTAAGTCACCAATGAGCCAATTACAAGTACTGCATGTCTCTCCCGTTCACCCTTTTCATCGATTTACGAAAATATTTAACGTTATCCTAATTTGCTGTTAAAAATAACACCATCTATATTTATAGCACAAGTAAGAATACATTTTTTTCATGCAAATTCAAGGAAAGGTGAAATCAGGACTAGCAGAGCCAACTATGGACAGAGATATTTCACAAAAATATAAAAAATGAGTACTGCATTTTCCCCATTTTTTGTTCATTTTCCCCGGCGGCAATGGGTTAATACTAATACTAATACTAATAATAATAAAAGTAATAACAGTATTAACAATAATAGTGGTAGTAGTAATAATAATAATAATAATAATAATAATAATAATAATAATAATAATAATAATAATAACAATAATAATAATAATAATAATAATAATAATAATTAATAATAATAATAATAATAATAATAACAATGATAATAATAACATTATTATTAATAATAGTAATAGTAATAGTAATAGTAATAATAACAGTAATAGTGATAGTAATACTAATAATAATAATAATAGTAATAGCAATAATAATAACAATAATAATAATAATAAAAATAATAACAATAAAAACAATTGCAACAAAAAAATAATAACAATAACAAAAATAATAATCATAATAACAATTATAATAATCATAATCATTATAATAACAATTATAATCATCATAATCATTGTAATAACAAAGTAGAGTTCTTAAAAATCTGCCTTACCTGCTGAAACAAAAAATCAGTTTGAGTGATGCTGTGCATCAGTTTATTCCTGTCACTGACCATCTTCCTGTGAGTGTTCTCGAGCTCTTCCGGGATCTTTGCTACTTCATCCGGATTGTAGCTGAGAAAACCTGGAAAGCACATTTGAGGAACAATTGAATATAGCTCTCTGTACAGATAAATGAATGCAATATAATCTGGGATATTTGTATGTGCAATTGCAACAAAACCATGTGCAATGACATTAAATTTATGACAACATACTTTTACTGCACAGAAGATCAGTTATTGAGAACAATTTCCACATTATAACTCATGATTGAATAATATACAGGATAAGATATATATTGCCTACTCACCAATAGGATTATGGAATACTGCTATTCTAACCCATTCATGTTCAAGTTGCAATTCTAGAGCATTAGCAAGTTCTCCAATGTGTTTTTTAGACACAGTTGTTGCTGCACGTGCAAGAACCAAGTCTTGAGTGACACCAAAAGTGTACTGCAGAAGTTAAAAATTCTATGCATAAATACTAACAAATTTTGAAGACATATTTATAATATCATTTTGATTATAGCTAACATGGCACTCTTCAGTTACAAGGTTAAAGCAATGTTAAATTACAAAGAATAAAGGACAAATTGAGGTCAACAGCAGCCCATAACTAACAAAGCACTCTAAACTGGATTCACAATAATTGCTTTATCATTCACTATATCTCACATTTTAAAAACATCATTTTGTCTTGAGTTACATTAATAATGGGTACAGTATTTGCATGTACACGATAGCCAGCATAGTTTTATCATCGTCATGGTATTTCCTTGTATCAATTTTAGCATAATTTAGAAGTGAGGGCATAGTAACAATACCTGTTGTTCCTGTTCATCATATGCATTTTTGGGGCTAACAAGAAGTATGTGATCCTGTAGCTCTGATAAAGTAAGAGCTTCTTGCATTTCTTTCATGTTCTGAAATAGACACTAAGAATATACCAAGTCTGCCTGCATCCATAAAAGATGGCTTGATCTGTTACATACATTATCTGAAAAGGGTCTTACTGAGTTATTCATATGATCTCAAAAGCCTGTATGACACATGTAAAGCATCAATTAGCATATGGCTATCATATTTTTCCTTATTTTAGGCTGTGAACTGGGAATGACTTCGGAAACATTTCCTACTTACCTGCCCTTTTTCTTTCTCTGCCTCAGCTTGATAAAGTACATCCTGAATGAGGCGGTGCAATGTTGAAACTTCCAAACATTTCTGCCTGATAATTATAAAGTTAATATTAATGATTCTCCAGCCACATTTTCTTTCTTACAAGTAGAAAATAATTATTCCTACTTGGGAAACAGAAAATAATAATGAGTATTTTGTACACTTCCTTTTGACTGCTTCCATCTAAAGAAAAATAATTTCTTCTTGCTGGGTACCCCATAATATAAACCATTAAAGTCCAATAACATTCAGCTGAACATATTTGGACTTTTAATGTTCAACATGAGATGGATCAGTTGAGGATAGTCTTTTAAAACAGCAGTAGGCCATTTTCCCTGCCTCCCATCTGTCAGTGCGAGGAAGTAAATCTGATACTATTTAGCAATTTTGTTCAATTACAACTCCAAACCTATCCCCATTTCCTAATATTTTAAGACGTTTTCTTCCCAAGATTCAAGGAATAGGGGAAAAAGGTGATTTGATTGCAGATTTGTGCTAATATAAAGAATCAGATCAATCTTTAAAAAAAAATCAAAATAAATATACATCTCACCTGGCTTGTTTCATACTATGTGTTGCTTGAGCAAGAACAGAGTATGTGCTCTTATTCATACCCGTTGGTGTGAGTCGGTGGGTTAAGTCCTCCAAAAGGTGAGTCACTTGAGGGTATTTGTTTACATCTTCAGGACTGATATATGCTGGTAGGCTGCCACTCACTATAATGCAATGAGAGGTAAAATATAATTCATGTCTAAAGTTCATTTCCATGCAAAGCAGGCTTTCAAAACAGGTATCTTTTCTTAAGATTATATTTGCCATTAGCTACCCAAATGTACTTAAAACTTACTATGTTCAGTGATCTATGATCACACACACACACACACACACACACACACACAGAACATTTTGCCTCTACAAGAATATCATCTCCAATTTGTCCTAGCTTAGCATGTCCATAACGTAAAGATTATCCTAGAATCTTTCTGAATACTTGTTTTTTATGGTTATTCTACACAGAAGCTGGTAACTGCCTGTATTTTTTTATTCATTATTAGCGGCTTCCAATTTCTTTACATTACCCAAATATTGTAGCCCCCCCCAAAAAATATAGTGATGATATTGGCAGAAGTATCTGAGGAGAGCATGAAATATGTACACACAGGAAACTATAGGTTATGAATCACAAGCAGTAAGTCCCCAACTTAAGAACATAATGGGGACCAAGAGGCTGTTTGTAAATTGATTTGTTTGTAGGTCGCAAGTCGGGTCTCCATTACCTTTTTTCCCATTGTTTTAAAGTTTTATTTACATTAAAAATACCTGTAAATAAATCCCAATAAGGACGACATACCTTATACAGTACCAGACTCTTGAACTATATTCGCGCCCAGGAAATTTGAAGTTTGCTAGCATCTTCCAAACAATTTTTTGGACTTTAGTACTTAAAAAAATTTGTTTGTATGTATGAAATGTTCATAAGTAGAATGTTCTAAAGTAGGGGACTATCTGTATTACAGTAACAATGACTCATATGGCATTTCTGGGGTCCTACACCCCTTTGACCTAATGATGATTTACTCATTAATACCTGATACAAATATTTTTTTTCTGAACATCAATTCATAGTGTGCATGTAATTATGGGTTCATAATGGAGAGTGCATGTATATATGATTACTGGTGTCTGAGCCCTGATCCAAAGTGCTTGCATATATGCACTGAGCCTGAGCCTAGATTCAGAGTTCATATATACATGCACCCTGGCATCAGTTAGTAAACCCTTATTGGGAGGTTTTATTGAAAGCCAGTGGCACATCCAACCACAATAAGGTAGTTTTCTAGAACCCATCTGCATCTGAAGAAACATCAGATTTTATATCAATGGATTTCTATCAGTGTCTGCTAGCGAAATATAGCAGAAAGAGACAACAAAATTAATATATAAGAAAAAAGTCCAAAAACGTCAATAATGTGCACAGTAACTCAGAATTCAGCATACTCATCACTTCATCTCACTAAGCATGCTGTTCATAACTATCCAAGGTCTATCTTGCTGGTTCCAGATTGGGAAGAGGGGGGGGGATCAGCCCCACATTAGGGGTGTTAAGGGCACTGTCCCTTACAATGACAGAATTCATAAACACCACATCATGATCTTCTACCCATGACATTTCCCCATAAAACTTCATGCCCCTCCAACCTGTCTTCCACCAATGTCTTCTGAAAGAGAATTATCAATTTTATATCTAAGATTAGTGCCATAACATCATACCCATTCTGATTCCCTTCTTCCATCACCCTCTCCATTCTAAATAACATATAAATATCTGAGATTCTAACGAAATCTAATGTCTTATCCTAAGTCATGCATCCTTACAGCCTTGAGTTTCTGTCCCTTACATTGGTTTGACAATTCTTCAGCCGATATTATTGGCGAGTCTGACCGCTTCATCGTAGCTGTTCCTGGTTACTTTGAACGAAAGCAGTCATTAAGAAGTTTTTGAATAACACTTCACGTTTTGTTTTTGTTTTCGCAAAGGTCTTCCGACTCAAATGAAACACGTGTATCGCCTGAGACTTCTTGGTAAATACTTGGTGCAGTCTCCGCTCTTCGAAATTTTGAATAGAGGGTACCATTTGTTTACGTTGGCCACGAGCTTATATTTATTATTTAGTAGGTTTCGGTTGGAATGATTTCAACGACCTAGAAATAAACGAATATACGTACATTGCAACCAGTTAAGGCAACATGTAATTTCTACTGAATAGTAATTTTATTTAAGCCTTTGATCCTCTACAAGGAAATTTTGTAGAAAAGTATAAAATCTCAGTCAAAATAATTAGAAAAAAATATATAACTATTGAACAGTATATTAACATATTACAAGAATGAAAATTAAAAATATAATATCATAGATAAATGAACAAGTTTAGACTATAATATAACCAATTTGTTAAAATACTAAAATTAAGTATTAAGGATTCACCGCCAGAGGACGACGGACTCGGTCTGAGTTGTTAGTGATGTCGAGTCGGAAAGGCCGTTTCTTCGGGACGCGATCACTTAAGAGGAATTTCATCCTGGTTAGACTGAAAATGCCCTCCGAACTCTCCTAAATTGGTAAGACGAGTTAGTAAGTGTGTGTGGAATACGTCTAAGTATTTACTTTGGGTGAAAGAAGGGAATTGTGCCCAAAAAGTCCATTTATCAAAGTTGGTCAGAGAAGAGGAGGATCAGTCCTGGTTTCGGGAGCAAAGTGCCTGAGTGAACATTTTTACATTTGTATTTTGGTTGAGTTTGGGTTGAAGCACACTGGTGGTTCCCATGAGGTGAGATTATTGAGCGGGGTTTATGGTAATGAACAAAGTTCGTATTTCCAGTGAAAAAGGAAAATTATGGTAATAACATTGTGTATATTGCACTAATGCAATGCAATGATACGAGACAATATGTAAGTTTGAGGAAACTCGCGGTAGTGCAGTGTTTTTTTTTATGTATCGACTTATAACTGTATGTCGAGAAAAGTTATCATTATGTTGCAGATAAAACTTTCTGCATAAAATTACCCAACAATTTAATATATTCTAACAAACCATTGGGAGTCATGTTATTATAGTATTTTATAATTTACTATCTCATGATTTTATACTTGTTTTATTTACTACTAATTGTTACATGATCTCCATCCTAAAATCAATCAAATTAGGGGGGTATCATTGAAAATGAAGCCTAACACTAAAAGTGAAGAATCTGACCTTGTCACCTATAGCACTTCCTTTGCAAACTTACAATAAGGATAGTAGTGAGGATGTAAAACTCACACACTTCCAGCAGTGAGAAAAAATGAGTCAAAAGCAAGGAAGTGACAGAATCGTAGCACATAACGTAAGCAAGGGAAATCAAACGAGCTGTTGGGAATTGCACTTGGCTGATAATAGACAGTAGTAACCAGTCCATGAGAGCCAATAGGATTTGTAATAGATAATTACATGACAAAAGTAGCTGGACCCAAGGGAAGTCAGTTGAAATTCAAATCGGTTCCAAATCATATGTAAGGCATTGTTTCGCCTCTAACAATGCTTAATATTATGGCATTAACAGCAGATAGTGGTTGCAGTTTATGCCAACTGTGATTACAAGTGTTTTGATGACTCGAAGGCTAGTCATTGCAGATTTATTGATCGAATTAAGAAAGCATTGCTGCAAAATCCAGATATTTGCCCAGGCTCATTCCTGCCGGAACATACGAGGTGAAGATTTTGTAGATAGGGTTGAAGGTAGAGGGAGCAATAGACCCCTCTAAATGAGTGGTTAGCGGAGGAAGCCCCCTATATGAATGTGCTTTACAATATCTAAATCACTAAAAATTTTACTTTGATCATTAGCTTTTACCCTGCAATTTCCCAAATACTTATCATCCACTCTTCTCCCTTCACATTGTCAGGGCTTATAATGTAGCTTTGTTTGCAAAGGAAATGAGTTAAATTCATTTGAAACATGACAAAAGCTTTAAGAAATACTTGATTTTCACCAAGAATTTGGTGTTAGGTGTCATTTCCAAATTATTTGGTATAGATGGACTCCTTTTGTTGACTACAATTGCCAATAGTCTTCAAAAGTAATGATATTTGTGGAGGGGAGGAGGTATGCTGGAGTGGGCTGCTTCTCCCCTCAATCCAGTGCGGGAACACAAAATCTCCATCACATCTCCCCAGCTAAATAGAATCCAGACAGATCAGAGCAACATTTACTTTTTGTATCTTTTTCTTCTTTTCATCTTACACCTTCAAACTTAGGGTGTAGGGAATCAGGGTTTGGACCCCATTCCCTAGGGCATTTCCCTACCTTTCCTAACCCCCTCTTCAGGGATGTTTTCCTATTGGACAAGTTCCTGGACCCCTCTTCCCATACTTTACATAACTTACCATGATTTGTTGCACTAGTCTTGTCTTTTGAAATCAAAGCTTCACTTGTTGCAATTACAGCAATGTATTCTTTAGCATGACTTCTCAAATAATGTGTGTATGTACATAGTTTATGTACATAGTTCAGTATTTTCTCACACTTTGATATAAAGTCAGTGTAGCCATAGTCACAAGATATCACACTTGATTCATTGTGTATCACCATAAGATAAGATGTAAAACATTTTCAAAAACTACTGTAAGCGTTAAATGCATACGGGTTAAGACAGATGTAAAATCAGCATTAATTAAAGGTACTTTAAATGAGGGCATGTAGAGCCATCTGTACCCATCCTTTGAATATCACGGTCTTAATTCAAACCTGTTACACATCATAATCTCCTAACCTTTATTAGATGTTTTATTTATTTATTTTTATTTACTTATTTATTTATTTTCTGTCTGAAAGAAGAGAAAGCACATCTTTGCTAAACACCTATTTTGGATAAAAAAAACATTTACTAGGTTTATCACCTTCAAGCACTTGAATTGGTTTTATTATTCCAGAGGTAGATATAATTTACTACAAATAAAGCATAATTCTTTACAGTATGCATGCACTCGCTTGAGACTAATATCCCCAATGCCGTTACAAAATTTATTTAACAATCTAAGTAGCTGTGACTGGGCGTGACCTTCTGGCACTGCCTTAGGAGAGAGTTGATGGGGGACTCTGCCCCTAACTACCCTCCCCAAAGCATTGTCTTTACCTTGTTTGCACCGCAAGATGGAGCTGAAATTTGGGAGCACTGAATGGACTTAAAATTGGAGCAGCAATCTTGTTTCTTGTACCAACAACGTTTTGTTCTCTACAAGATTATCATATTCAATATGCCCTACCTTAGTATATCCATGCTGTAAAGATTAGCCACATTTTTATCAAATTTCAGAATTTCCCCCAAAGAGTTGTTTTTTGCTTTTTAATGACATATCTTACTAAGCAAAAAAGTTTACAGACCAAGGGCAACAAACCCAACATACAAAAAGCATAGCTATGGCAAGGAGCAGTCATGGGAGGCTGTAGGTGCCCTTAAATAGGACATAATCTCTGATTATTGGGGAAAAGAATGGTCAACTTAAATCTGAAAATATTTTTCAAGGTGAATTTTCTTTTATCATATTTATAAAACTGTGTAATAATGATAGAGTCTACTTGGAATTCCAGATTATGTAAAGAGACCCTCATTCAAGGAGGCTGGCATTTGTAATGGCCAGTTACCACCAACTGAGAGACATTGTTAACCCAATGGTGCCGGGTGAAGAAAACAAAAAAAAACTCTACGCTCTGGCAAACAAAGACGCCGACTTTGAGCGCGTGAGTAGGGTACATCAGCCTGAATCACTGGCTTGCTGCTTTTTGGCGCGCCGCCGCGGTGTACAGCCACACGCCAGCTTTCGAGCGGTTTGTTTTCACGCCTATCGGCGTCACCCGGCGTTAACCCAATGGTGCCGGGGGAAATGAACAAAAAATGAGGAAAATATTGTGCCCACTTGCTATGTTTTTCGTGAAATGTCTGCCGATAGATGGCTCTGCTAGCGCCTGATTTAAATGGCGGGAAAAACGTATTTTTCACTAGCGCTATGAAAATCGATGGTGTTATTTGTATCAGAAACATCATAATTTTTATAATTTTTTTTAACATTAGTAACAGCAAAATAAGATTACGTAAAATATTTTGTAAATCAAAGAAACGGGTAAACGGGCGAGACGGGCGGTGCTCGTAACTGGCTCATTGGGGAGTTAGTACAAGTGTTGCCATCTATGCGTAAAACCAATCAAACAAGTACTCACTGTAGGCATAGCACGTACGTACACGTCATACCCGGCACCAAGGGGTTAAGGGGTTAATGCCCAGTTGTATGACATTAGATTGGAGCAGCTCACTCTAGGAGGACGACTTTATCTTTCTCCATCTTGTGGTTTACCTTATCAGTATACTGTGAAAGTCTGTACCTTTTACTTACAGGCACAGACAGGCACAAACAAATCCTGTTTGAGGGCTTTAGGTCTTTGAGCATAATGTGTAGTTTTTCTCCTTGATCATAATTTTTAAATGATTCACTTATAGTCTAACTAATGTGTATATGGCATAATCAGATCTTTGGAAGATGCTATTCCTAAAGGAGAAATAATTTTATGTATAATAATCATTACTGAGAAATATTGTCAGAAGTTATTCTTTACCATTAATGTGCTTGCTTTGATAGAAGTCTCTGTACTTTTCAAGAGATTAAGTAAATTCTATGGATGATTCTAGAAAACTCTAGGAAGGTATACAAGGTAGGGTCAAGTATGTATGTGTATGATAAAATCCTTGATTATGAAAAGATTCTTGGCAGTGGATACATTAAGATTTGATAAACATATATTTTAATAACTGTAAGATTATTAGTATTACTTTTATCCATGAGTTACTCAAACTACAACTTCTTTTTCAAGTGCACCTATTTACCTTCATTGGAAGAAGTCTCCCAGATTTATGTTCTTTTCTTATGCAGGTTGCCATTGCAGCTGAGCAGAGATGGCACCAACACCAACTCCAGCCCCTCTGGAGAGTGGAAGTGGAGGTGGCCCGATGGAGACTGTGGGCTCAATGGGGGGCCAGATGGGAACCATATCCTTAGGGGTTCTCATTCAGTATATTAACCAGAGAACCTATTCAGATCTGCTCAATTTGGCAGAAATGTAAGTTATCTACCATTTTCTGTATTCATAAAGCACTTTATTTCACTGCTGTCATTGATTGTGTGTGTAAGAGAGATATTAATTGATTGATTAATTAGTAGTAGTAGTAGTAGTAGTATGAGAGACTTTCAGTAGTACTTAACAGTAAACTGGGTGGGTCATTATAATGATTTGAAAAATTTCAGCTCCAACAGAGGAGGTCAAAACTCTAGTTAGATTTTTTATCATAATCTCCTGATATTTACATATATATGAGCATTATCCCAAAATCATGCTGTAGATTCTTAATTGAGTTGTACAGTTACAGTCCTCATGATAAGAATAATATTGAGCCTTCTCTCTATCAGTTTGCCGAGGAAAAGTGATTTAGAAAAGAAGATAGACATTGTTCAATATGCCCAACGGACAAGACAGCTATATGTTCGTCTCTTGGCCTTGGTCAAATGGGCAGCCAGTGCTTCAAAAGTGGACAAATGCTGTGTAAGTGAATTATCTTAATTTGTTATTAATGCTTTAAGTTTTTAACGATTTTTGTAAATTCTTTATTCTAAATGATTTTGGTCTGCTGTATGTTACAGAGATATAAGAGAGAGTTTGTTCTTTTTCAGCATATTATGGCACTGCTGGAAAAGCAAAATAATCTCTTTACGTACACAGCTGATAAGCTGTACCACATGACCAAAGAAAACTTAGTATGTGCTCGTCTTCCTCACTTTCACATCCCAGCTGCTGTAGAAACACTCACTACTGGTAAGGAAGTCAATTCTAAGATGTTTGAAGACTTTGTTATACACGGTTTCAGAAATGGATTTATAATAATATCTGGAAGTTTTTGGCTAAATGGTATGCAAGTCTCAATGCAATTTTTCAGAGATATAAGTTTGAAACAAAAAGTATTATTTCATTTTTTTATCATCTTTCATAGATAGATAATATTGCAAGTAATGAACTGTTACTGTTTCAGGTTCCTATGACCGGTTACCATTGACCATACGGCAGCGCATCCTTCCCCCAGAGCCAATCACGGCATTGGAACGCAAACAAACACTGACTCGATTGGAACAGATCATTCAGCATCGGTTGGTTACAACTGAACTTCCACCACAAATGAGGACAAGTAGAGTCAGTATTTTAGATCTTCTTTTGGATACTAGTCACAAGTGAAGTGAAGATTTTTTTTTTTTTTTTTTTTTACAAGTGTCTTGAAAATGTGGGCCACCTTCTAATTAGGTTTTAACAATATATTGCAACCTTTAGTAATAGACACATTACATCAAAGTCATTCATTCATATCCTTTAGTGTGAGAGCTAGATTAGGAAACCAGTATTGATAGAATATTGTTTTATTTATACTATTGTAATTTTTCCTTTCAACATGTCGTAGAAAGAAGACAAAAATATGATATAAGCATTTTCCAAACTTGAGAATTTTTTGTAAAAAAAAAATAATTAACTCCTTTCATCAATCATTTTTTAAATTCTTTTTAGATTGAAAACGGTCGTGTAAAGTTCACGGTGGAGCATGAGTTTGAAGTTAGTCTCACACTCATGGGAGATAGCATAACAGAGCCTTGGAGGCTTTTGGAGATTGAAATTCTGGTTGAAGACAAAGAAACTGGGGATGGCAAAGCTCTTGTTCATCGAAGACAGGTTAGTATGAACATGTAGATATTAATAAATGAGTCCTTTCATGTTTTCATGGTTGGATTGTTTACAGTTGATAGATAACTAGCTCTCATTTGGTATCTAAACTGTTTTGTTTTTTACTCTCTTCCAGGTATTATTTATTCATCACCTCATTCAGTCAAGATTACAGGACAACCCAAAACCTTTACACGAGACTTACATGGTCCTACACTCTTTCTGTCAGGCATTACAGCTGGAGGTCCTCTTTGTACAAACACAGAAGGTATGTTTTGTTTATCTGTAAAAGTATTTTCCATTCAGGAAAAAAAAAATACTTTTTATTATTCAGTGTGAAAGTATCATTAATTTATCATAAATGTTTTGTGTTCCTAGCTCTTGGAGGATAGGCTGGACTTTCACATTCGCATTGAGGAATATCTGCAAGGAAGGTCCCTCACTTTGACCTACTGGAGAGAGTTGACACAACGAGATCCTTCAGCACAGTTAGGATACAGACTCACTGTGCAGGTTGACCCTACAGAGCCCTCAAAACCTCTTATGGTATTGCATACACCATCGTTAGGGTCTAAGGTAATTCACATTGATGAATACTTTTGAACTATGTGTAAAAAGAAAAATCCTAAGAATTGATAGACTAGCCAGTAGAAAAGATGCCATCATTATCCATGGTCATGAATCATTTTGAATACAGATTATAATCAGTACTGATTTGAAAAGAAAACAAAATTCACATTTAAGTTGAAGATAACAAGGCTTGTTAGTTTTGGGAATTTCTTTTATCACCCAGTAAAATTTCATTTGAACAATGCAAATCAAGGTCACATTGATACATACATTTTTCTACCATTCTATCTATTGTAAGTTTATTTGAATTTTTTTTTACAGGAATCAGAGATTGCTGAACGTGCTATCCGTAGTGACCACCTGTCAATTGAGAGATTATTAGTTCATACAATTTATTTAAGGACAAAGATTCGCCTTTCTGAACTAAAGCAAGAAATGGATTCTAAACTAGGAAATGATGCCGAAAAATGTAAGTATACTTGTGTGTGTGGGGGGGGGGTTAATAATATTTTAGAGACTTAGTCAGAGACATTTTCTGTTTTTATGAGGATCATGAAATGACACATTTTCCTAACAGCATTGGGTTAAATGGCAAACTAATCACTTTACAGGTCAACTTAGTGGATCTCCAGCAGTGCTTCATGTACCCATCCTTCAACCAAATCTAAGATCTGAGCAGCTGTTGATCACTGTGGACACTCACACAGGGGTGCTTTTACCTCACATCCCACAGTATGACAACTGCCACATAATATCAGACTTGCAAAGTGCACTAAACCATGATAAATCAAAAGTGGATGATTTGATCTCAGAACTCAGGTCAGATGCTTGAACTATTTGTTTTACTTTCTCAAATATTACTTCATCTTTGTTTGTTGGAATAGTTGCTCAATGTAAAAGTTTTTTTTATGAAATGTATTGAATTCATTCAGAGAATAAATCTGAACATATCCTTCCTTACAAATCCTTCAGAATATAATAGATTTTCTCTTCTGCATTAATTTTTTTCATTTTATATTTTTGTTTTTATTATTATTGCTTCTGTAGATAGACAAATAGGTAGATATGTATAGGTTTGTATTTAAGTAATCAAAATCTGTTTATCCTAATGCAGATACTGGCTCATGGTACGTCGGACAGAAAAAACACTGCAACATCTTCCAGCAACAGCCCATGAACGCCTGCCCCTCATGTATTTTGCCACACATCCACTGAACTCCCTTGGCAAGCACAAGGTCTTCATTACATTCCACAAACATCCTGGATATGTTGTGGTAAGTCAATTCCCCCCCCCCCCTCCTCCACCTCCTCCTCATTTAGTTTTGTCATCTCTTATGTATAAACCTTTCTTTTTACTGAAAAGTCCTATTTATTTCCACAAAGTTAAGTGATCATGTTTCAGTGATTTTATGATAATGATTAAGTTTATTGGATATAAGGTGAATATATAATGATCATCTCTACTGTAGGGTTTATTTGTTTTATATCAGTGTTTATATTTATTTTTGTTCTTGTTTATTAGATTGTCATTAGCAGCACTTTAATCTCATATATCTCTAAGATGTGTGTTAAGAGAATGATTTGATGATCTATACAGATTGTGGAGTTCAGTGAGAAAGAAGGAAGCCCATGTGAAATCGAGCAAAGCCTCTATTTTATGGTAGTCAAACAAGCGAGTATTGAGGACAACCCAAATGACGACACAGTGCAAACAGCACTGCCCAAGTCTTACATGCGGGCATATGACCTTGTGAAACTTGATTCTTTTGTGTGCACACATGGACCTTCAACTAAAGTTGATGGTAAGCAAAAAGGCTATTTTAGTAAAATGCTATCTTAATGTAAGTCTTATTCCTGAATTTTGTAGCTCTGAAATAAAATTTTGTTTATCATACATACAGCTTATGGAGAATGGCAAAACACTACTGTGTAGATACTATGGTAGAAAAACCCTCTATACACAAAAAAATTATGGAAGAGTGAGACAGTAATTTCAAAATCATCCTAGATTTCATCTTCTGAAGATGACATCCAGGTTTTGCATTGTGCTTTTTTTCTACCATAGTTTTTTGAAATTTATTAACTTCTAAGGTCTTCACCATATTTCTTATGATGATTAATGGTTAAGTTATAGAGCCAGGAGAGAGAGCCTTGGGAGGTAAGAGAAAACTACAACAGCGAGCAGAGCCAGCTAGTAAAAGAGTCAAGGTGCCGGCCTACTTCTTGCCAGATGTAGCCCAGTGTGTTGCTATGAGTGATATGAAACTACCTCTTACACACTTATCACTCAAGGTAAAGAAATAATCTTGTGATACATAATTAAGTCTTTTTACTTCATGCTGCTGATATAAAATACAATAAGTTGTGGTTTGAGTGAGTATATTTTTTTAGTTTGAGTTTTCTGATCATACCATATTCTACAGCTTCGTGAAAGGAATGTTTTCAATACTGGAGAACAAGTGGAGGAAGGCGGTATGGGAGTGCTTCTACGACTGATTGATCTACCATCAGTAGAAGGCCTATCTTCTGACACTGTGATAGCTTTAAGAAAAAACCTTCTCTCTTCTTCCATCAGAATTCAAGTTCCGGTAAGAACTAGTTATGGTTGTGTAAGTCATTTGAATTTCAAAATAGATATTTCAGTTTTAATTACCTTTTATTTGCCATTAATGAACGTAATAATGAATATCTTTCCAGCAATTCAAAGGTTCTCGAGTCTTTGGAATGGAGTACCTGTTTACAAACTGCCCTGTGACAAGCCAGCACTCTCGTGAGCAAGGGCCACGTCGTGCCGCATACTTTACCTATGAAGTGACAGAAAATGTCAACAGTACAGTAGATGCCATATTGGCTGATTGGACTGTTATCTCACAACTGTATCAGCTGGTTCTCACATTTGCAGCTCATCTATCAGCTTCAAGAGGTACGATATATTCTAATTATGATTTCTTTCAAACCTATAACAAAAATTTCAGTTACTTATTTTGTTCTCCATTTTTAATGATATTAATTTTATTATCCATTTACAGCTGGTGTTGAATCAGCTGGAAGTAGCAGTAGCTGCAGTAGCAGTGGGGCTAATCCTAAAAGCTTAAGTGAGATGGTGCGAGTGAAGTCATTCAACTACAAAAGCATGACTCTTGCTTATGGCCCTAGCTATGACGCATTTGTTATCATAAGATACAATGCAGAAAAGAAGGCCTTCACTTTAAGCTTTGGTAAGTTTTTTTCATAATTACATTTCCATTCTCCCCTGGTAAGGTATTGCATCAAGAATACTCATTGTGTGCTGCCTCAACTAATACACTTGAAGTCAGTTCAACCTTTATTGTCAAGTTCACAAACTAGTAGGCATAAACAGTATATCTAAACTTGC